AACTCATCAAAACATCCCCAAGCACCACACACACACACACACACACACACACACACACACTTATTTAACTGATATTAGAATCATAGAAAAGTAGGGATGGAAGAAACCTCAGGAGATCATCTAATCCAACCCCCTGATCAAAGCGGGATCCTTCCTGTTTAAACTTTTCCAGATAAATGTTCGTCTAATCTGCTCCTAAGAAGGGAGATTTTACAGTCACTTCTGGAAGTCTGTTCCAATGCTTAGCCACCGTTTTCCTACTATGCAACCTAAGCTTCCCTTGCCTCAATTTGAGACCATCATTCCTTGTTCTACAGAGAATAACTTATCACCACTGCTGGTTTTGCAGTGTTAGCAAATCCCCCCTTTAGTCTTCTCTTCTCCAGACTAAACTCAGTTCTTTCAATTTGTCTGCATTTCCCACTGCTTCCCAGTTCTTCTCAACATTTTTCTTAATTTACATTTTTCCAATCATTTTTGCCTATATGTTTCTTCTTGAAGTGCAGTACCCCAAACTGGACACAGTACTCCAGGGAAGGCCTCACTAGTGCTGAATAAAGCAGAAAAATAACTCCCCTTAATCTGCAAATTACTCATCTATTAATACAACCCAGTATGCTACTGGCCTTTTTTGCAATGAAAGTGAACTGTTGGTTTATATTTAGTTTGCAGTCCCACTTAAATCCCTAGGTCCTTCTCTGCAATACTGCAGTCTAGTCAGTCATTCCCCAGTCTGTATTTGTGCATGTGATCATTCTGTCCCAAGTGTAGTACTTTGCACTTTTCCCTATTAAATTTCTTTTGATTAATTTTGGACTATTTTTCCAGTTATGGACATCATTCTAAATCTTAATCCTATCCTTCTGAGCATCTGCAGCTCCAGCATCTGCAGCTCCAACTACTTGTCATAGAACAAAATTAAGTTTTTCAAACATGAGCTGGACTTGAAAAATCCATGGGTTTTTTTTCCATTCACTTTGTTTTCCTTTACATGCTTTGAAAGTGATTTTTGAATGACATGCTTTATAATCTCTACAAGTACTGAGGTCAGACTGATCTTGGTCTGAATTTTCCTGGATCTGTTTTCTTCTCTTTTTAAAAGACAGGAACTATACTATACTTTCACTCTTCCAGTCACTGAGGACCTCACCCAGCTTCCACAAATTCTGAAAGAGGATATCCAGGAGCTATGCAATTACTGCAGTGATTCTTTAATTACTCTAGGATGCATCTCATCTGGCCCAACGTCTCTAAGTAATCTCTAATCTCAGAAATATCTTCTATCTTCTGTTGGTCCAGTAAAAAATATCCCCCCCTCCCCGCAAAAAAAAAAAAATCCCTACTTATCACATAATTCTTGGACCATCATGGTTACAACTTAACTCTAATCCTACCTTTCTCTTCTGGACACTCAGAATAGATATTAATTTGGTATTATGTGTTCCCTCATTGAAGCATTTGGTGTGGCATACAATATTACTTTATCTTTGATGTTAGGTCTCTTTTTTTGGGCTGATATGGAAGACAAGCTTTCAAAAACCCCCTACTATGAAAGTCAAATCAAGTGTCCTTATGAATATGCATAAACATAAAACTAGCGTAGTCATTTTCTGCAGTTACTTACTGTGCTGGGTGGCCCTGGAAGCCATTCCAAATGGTTTTGATTTTGCGTTTGAGATTCTTAATGGTAGTAATTATCTCTTGCAGCCATGCAGTACCAAACATGATGGGTGTTAGAGACACTTCAAAAAAAATAAAAATTAAAAAAAAAAAACCCTGAAGATGCTAATGCTCACATTTTAGTTCCTACAGGGCAATTAGCCCCTACTAATGATGTTTATATTTATATGCAAATGTATAAAAAAAGAATCTTAACAGATACTTCATACTAATGCTACTGGGATTCCATCTGTCTGTAGCAAAAATCTGTCATTAACACTATGAGTTGCTGATTTTTGTAATAAGAACTATTTAATCTTAAGTAATTCATTCTTCATTTGATGTTTTTCCCTTACCTTCTGCTCTTTTATAAAGACCCTTAACTTTAATGTACAGTATGGGATGTCTGTTTAGGGCATCAATGGAGGTGCTAGGTATACTTCCCACTCAGCCTTATGTTGCTTGTTCTTTTTTTTTTTTTGCATGATTGCCTCATATTACATAAAGCAGTTCTCCTCACCTCAAAATAATAATTTAATAACAAACAGATTTTGCAGAGGCAGTCATTTGTTAGTATCTCACTTTCCAGTGATCTCTGTGATATGCAAACAAGGATGACAACCAAGGGTGTAGTAGCATACAACAGACTTCATTTCCTACTGAGCTAATGAAAATGTTCTTTTCATTGAGAGCTGCTCTTCTGAGACTAGAAGACCTCCGGTTCAAATTTCTATATCTTTGTGTTCTAATTTACCACATTCTTAACAAAATCTTCATTTTTAGGACTACGAAACTTTGATAACAGGTTGAAAAATAAACAAGCAACATCTGTGCAAACACATTGGTTCACCATTAATATTTCATATGAAATGTGCACTAAATATGCGCACTAAATACTCACATTTTAAACAGAAGCACTGAAGGCACCACTTTACTTGTACTCTAATCATTCAATTTGATGAGTACAATGTAATATGAAATTCTTATATGATCAGCTTATTATTTTTTATAAAGCTTAAGAGCAACCTGTCAGTTAAGCCTACAGACATCAACCATTTTTAAATTAATTTTATTGCTTTATGTTACTGTAATTAAAGATTGTAAAATCCTTATAATTTTATGCATACAATATCTTATTAAATTAAACAAAGATATAAGAGTAAATCTATGCTAAATTAAAAAGGCTTTGTTAATTAACCTAACATGAATGGTTACTTGATCAGCTATGCCAGTGCTTTAAAAAGCTTAGAGGTAATTTATTTAAAACAATAACCTTTATTGGGGCATAAACTGATCACCAGCTGAGGTTAGAAAGAATTTTCACCACATGGTAATATATTGTGAAATTGTTTGGATGACTTTCTGGGAGGTTTTTTACCATCTTCTGTAGATCTACAATAGATTACAGATTCCATTTAGTCATTTCTGGCATTAAATCAATGACAGCTTTGCATCTTTTCAGATATTATAATAATTTTAAAGAGATTGTGTGTACACTTTAAATATACCCATATAAAAAGCAAATAATTGTTGTGCTTGGAAATACACATATATTTGACAGGATACACATTACACACACATGCAATATACTCTCTAGAAATACAAAAATACCTAGTCATTAAATTAGTGTTGAACTTGTTTTCTTTTTGTCTGTTCTAATTTTGGGACAATATTATTATTGCCATCAAATCTCCCCATGAAAACCAGAGCAAATAGAGAACAAGGTGTCCCAATAACTGCTTTGATACTTTGTAACTGTGGGAACTAAATGCTAGTATATGAGGGTTGTCTTGCTTTTGTCATTATGAATACTACATAGACATGTCTACTAAACACTAGAAGATGATTTGTTTCTATTTATTATCCAGACTTTAGGAGCTCAGGAAAAGCACTTACCTCAGAGAGGTATTCAGGTCCCTTGTCCAATATCTGAACAATCAGAATGCATGACTAATTCTCATTAAGCTCAATGGCTTTAGCTGCAATTCCCCCACCTGTTACAAAGTTCAAGATTGAGATTTTGATGAACTCTTCTGGTACAAAAGCAAACAATATATATTTTTTGTGTTTTACATTCATTACTTGATTAGAAGTTTAACAGTATTACTGAAGTTCAGATGTTCCAAAGTTTTATATTTTCCTGCTCACTTTGTATATAAGAAGATAGCAGCAAACAATGAATTGGGGAGAAATATATTGCATATGGATGTGTCCTCTTATAATGCTTTTATTCAGAGAAGCTATGGTCTAATTTTCACAAGCAGACTTCTCAAAGATTTCACCTTCACCCTGAATGTAGCTGTGACAAGTAAGTCAAGGTCCAGTGATTCCAATTAGAGAGGTTTTCTCGTGAAGGTAAAGCATGTTGCACTTCCTGACAATACTGTATTAGGGCAAAATTATTGTGAAAGGGTTTATCTTTAAAGAGGGCAGTGGTAGCTATATTCATCTTTTTCAGTGACTTAAAACTGTGACAAACCAATGGATAGCACAAAACATCTGTCAAGAACAATCTTCCTTTCACATCAGCTCTCTACAAAGCAGAACGATTACTTTCATGTGTTTTTACCGTTAAAAGAATAAGGCTGAAGTTAAACAAATTCATAGTAAAAACTAAAATGAGAGTTTCAAATAGTGTTTATAATTCTACACTTAGTTTGATCTGTTTTAAGTAAAAAAAGATGAAATCTTGTTTAGCAGTGGTCAAAACAACTGCGGTAACACAGAGTGCTTTTGTTTTCATCCAATATTTTGGTGGTAAGGTTGAAAGGAAGAATTAAATTTCATAATTAAAGGGGAAGGGTTAAAAATGACTGAGAAATAATGTTTCAGTTATGCCTTCAGCTGTATCCTGTCAGACTGTTTCTAAGGGCACTGAAATCAGTATATTTTCTCTTACTCTACTAGGCTAGGGACAGACATTACACATACACCAGTTTAAGTGATCAGAAACTGGTTTAAAACTGTAACAGAACAGATCTTCAGTGCACATAAACCTATTTGAAAATAGCTGAAATTGGTTTGAGATAAACCTGGTTGAATGCAGTGCCAGACTTAACTGATTTGGTTCAAACCAATTTATGCAAAGTCTGTCCAAGACCCCTTGCTGGTTTAAGATAAGCCAGACTCCCCCAGCATCCTGGCATGCTCTCTGGGGTGGGTGGGGCTCTTTGCTCCACAGAAGGATTGGCCATTCCCCTCTGCTCCCCAGCTGCAGTTCCTGCAGAGACTTTCAGGCTCGGAGCATTTGCCTGGCTTCTCCCTGCCCCTCTACCTTACACACACACCTCAGCATTAGCTTGCAGACCAGATGCTGGCTACAGTCCATGCTGAGAGAGACAATAAAGGCAGACAGGCTTTTTGGAGCTAATCAATAGGTAACTTAATGTCCTTCCTTGGAAAAGCTGTTTAAGAAGAGCTTGGGGAGAGGCTTTGTTTTCTTAATGGGTTGTTAAACAATGAGTTAGGGATGATAAACATTCCCTGCTGGACTGCTATGGAAGTGGGGGGGATAATCAGAGCATCCTGATGGGACCTGGCCATGCCCCACTCAGCTCAGCACTTTGAAGTGAAGGGAGGACTGCTTTAGCTCCCCTTGGCTTCTAGCCTGAGGCACTGTAGTCATGTGCCTGCATTTCTAGAATGAAAAGGGAATGTCTATCCACCTCCAAATTGGTTCAAGCTTTGCAGATTAGACTAACCTGCAAAGATTGAATCAATTCAAGTTCAGGCTTTTTGAATGTCTGCCCTAGCCCTAGGGTTTAAACCAGGTCCTGGGTGACTATCCAGCTGTAGCAGATGCATCCCTACTAAGGGTGTGTGAAACGGGCCGTATTCAATTCATTTATTTGGATCACTGTCCTGATTCGATTCAGCCAAGCCAAATCCAAATCTGAAGATCCAATGCTGATTCAGAGATTCAGTGACTCAGCTTTAAATGTTTTTTCTACACACCTCAAGGTACCAGGCATGGCTCGTGAATGCTGTGATGGTAGGGTGGATGGGGGGCGGGGGGCAGGAGGCACCGGTGGCTGAGCAGTGAGATAGTACAGATATAGTTTCATAGTTTCTAGGGTCGGAAGGGACCTGAGCAGATCATCTAGTCCGACTCCCTGCCATGGCAGGAAAGAGTACTGGGGTCAAACGACCCCAGTAAGGTGGTCATCCAACCTCCTCTTAAAAACCCCCAGGGTGGGAGCCTGCACCACCTCACTTGGAAGCTGGTTCCAGACCCTAGCCGCCCTGACCATGAAGTAGCGCCTCCTGATGTCCAACTTAAACCTTCCCTCCGCCAGCTTGTGACCATTGTTCCTGGTCACTCCTTGCGGCGCTCGGGGGAACAGGGACTCCCCCAGCGCCTGCTGATCCCCCCTAACCAGTTTATAACAGGCCACAAGATCCCCCCTCAGCCTTCTCTTTTGAAGGCTGAACAGGTTCAGGTCCCGCAACCTTTCCTCATAGGACCTACCCTGCTGTCCCTTGATCATACGAGTGGCCCTCCTCTGGACCCTCTCCATGCTGTCCACATCCCTCTTAAAGTGCGGCGCCCAGAACTGGACGCAGTACTCCAGCTGCGGCCTGACCAGTGCCGCATAGAGGGGGAGGATCACCTCCTTGGACCTGCTCGAGATGCATCTGTGGATGCACAACAAGGTGCAGTTGGCCTTCCTAGCCGCCTCCCCACATTGCCGACTCATGTTCATCTTGGAGTCAATAATGACTCCCAGATCCTTTTCCACCTCCGTGCTGACAAGAGGGGAGTTCCCCAGCCTGTATGTATGGTGCCGATTGTTCCTCCCCAGGTGCATCACCTTACACTTGTCTGTGTTAAACCCCATCCTATTCTCCTCCGCCCATCCTTGTAACCTATCTAGGTCCAACTGTAGCCTGTTGCTTTCTTCTAGTGTGCCCACATCCCCCCACATCTGGGACTTGAAGAAAAGGTGGGAGAAAATCCTCTTCATAACATTTCCTTCAACAGATGGGAAATGAAGCTAGTTGTGTGGTTAAAAGCTGACTGAATGTTAGGAGCTAAATTTCTGAGGTGCAGCCCTGCATCAAGAAGAAACAGAATCATAGGACATTAGGCCTGGAAGGGACCTCACAAAGTCATCTAGTCCAGGTATCTATACTACACAGTAGGATCATCTTTGTTTATATCGCCCCAGGCAAGTGTTTGTCCAAACTGCTGCTGACAATTCTCAGGGATGGAAAGTCCACAACTTCTCTAGGTAGTCTGTTCCAATGCTTGGCTACTCTGGAAGCTGGAAAGTTCCCCCTAGTCTCTTACTTAAATTTCCTCTGTTGCAACTTGAGGCCATTTTTTCAAGTTCTGTTTCCTATGGCCACTGAGAAAAGCCCATCTCCATCCTCTCTGTATTCACCCTTCAGGTATTTGAAGACTGTTATCAAATCCCCCCGCAGCCTTTTCCAGACTAAATAACGCAGCGCCTTCAGCCTTTCCTCAGAAGTCATGCTTCCCATGCTTCTAATAATTTTTCTGCCCTCTGCTGGGCTCTTTTCAGTCTTCAATATTTGTTTATAACTCACTGGAGCCTGGGGAAGGAAAGAAGGAAACTGACCCATGGATGAAAAAAAAAACTCCAAAATTTTACCAAATAGGCTAACATTGTATAAAATACAGATTAAAAATTCTGAACCTGGGGTAGGATGGAATGTTGTTTATTTGGGGTGTTATTTTTACCGCTAGGAATTTTGCTTTGGCTAGTTAGCCAAAACACTGAAGATTACAGACACAAGAGAAGCCATAGTGTGGAGAAATGGAAATTAACTTGAATGGAAGCAAAAAATACATATAATGGGGGAAAAAATACAGTATAAGAGGCCATACACATGTCTAGAAAAAATATTTCTTGAACAATGTATTAAATGATGTTGCCATCTATGGGATGTTTCTTTCTTTATTCAGCTAACCCTACAGCTCATTGAATAGTATGAACTGAACAATGATAAATAGCTTAACACTTGCCAGAAATAATATTTGACAAAAGAGTTCATTTACCATTTGACCAGCTCCATAGACATCCTGGGGCTGCATTAACATACTGACTTATTTGAGCTTTGCTTTATTTGAAGATTTACTGAGATGCTGTCCAAATGTTCTTGAACTTTCTATCTCAGTTACAGGTGTGGTGCATTTTCTGTATACATATAGCAACTGAACTGCTTTTAAAATGTATTTTTATAGCACAATATATAATAGGTACCATTATTTGAGATTAAAAATATATTCGATAAAATGTAGAATTGCTACTGTAACCATTTTCCATTAAGTGTAAGAATCAGATTTCTTCTTCTGTTTTATTAAACATAATAAAAATTATTAGAGATAAACCATAGAGACTACTGGCTGTTTTTAAATGCCATGATTAAAAAAAATAATACTGAGGTACTATGGAGATATTATAGGTGATATTCCATACAGACTAAAGAGACAATAGCACGTCTACATGAAGCACTTAACTTTGCATTAGCATAGTTTACTGTGAAGAAAGCATGTGCATCTATACTTGCACACGCTTACATCAGATTAAACCTCCCTAATCCCAAGTAAATGTGCTACCTGCAAATGTGAGTAGCAAATTTATTCAGGATTAGTAACAACCCCATAGTGCTCATGTAGACACTTGACCAGGAGCAAAATCTGCTTCCACTCAACCATCAACCGGGGAACGGGAGATAACTCCCTGCCCTTGGGAACTGCTTGGTGCTGGAGTAGGCTTTGCCACAGGAGCCAAGGCACAGACTATGTCCCCCTACCCTGGCAGCAGGGTGCTCCAAGCCCCCTGTTCTAAGATCGTGATGGGAGAGTGGGGGCTAGGAAATTATCTTCTGGCCCCCACTCCACTATCATGATTAGGAAGCAGGGAGCTAGGAGACCCTTAACTCCCAGTCCAAGCCCCATGGTCAAGGGGATCAGGCTGGGAAATCCTTATCTTCCAGCCTAACCCTGGATCTTCGGTTGGGAGATGAGGGTCTCC